GGAGTACTGTTTTTTTGCATAATAAAAAGTAGGGAAGTATTCATTTACAGGGTTTTGTCTCTGAATATAATTGACAAAAAGCCTGAGTGATATAAATAATCACTTTCCGCATTTATATTTAAAGTTGTGATTAGACAGAAGAAACCACAAATCATTACTTTTGTATTGTGACGTACATGAGTCTCAAGCTTTAAAATGATTTTGATCACGTTTAGAAGAAACTGATTCCATCGTTTGGTGTGTGGTTGTGCAAAGTGTTTAGCCCTGCTGGAGGAGCTATAAGGCGAAAGAGCTACAAGAAATTGTCACGGTAGTCTATTGAGTCCTGGTCTGTGGCTCATATATTGCTGATATATGAGTATCGTTTTCACGCATGTGCATGTGGAAGTCTTGGGAGAGCAAACGATGGAAAAGCACGGACTTTTAGAGAGGTCCTTCGTGCACTACAGCACAGTCATAGTAATAAGATACCAGTTGTAGGGGGAAACAACAGGGAACTGACATCTTTCTAATGCAGTTCAAATTATATACAAAATCTATGTCATACAGCATTCTAAACATTTTGTGCACAGTTCTACAGGGACATCTCACAGGATTTGAGATTGGAGTTCACCTACAGGAATATACTAGATTACATTCAACTGAGGCTCTATCGACCGCATCCACAGTCAATAACTTCGACTTGTCCCTCAGCTCAACTAAAACACAGTAAATTAGCCCCAGAGGGACAGTCGTAATTTGTGTACAAAAAGAAAAAATAGGGATAAATCATTTTCATACAATAAACATTGAAATAAAATTTTGTACAAGTAAAAATCTCATTATAAAAAAGTACAGAATCTATAGAAACTGGTGTGTCTGTGTCTAAGTGGGTTTCCTCACTAAACAAACCAACCAGTCAGGATTGAAGCAGACAGTCAAGTAGATAGCTGAGATCAATGGCTGAATGGTTTATGGAGCAGTAATCCCATCTGATTAAGAATATTGACTGCCTAAAAAGCTTTAGGACTGCGCTATACTAAATGGAAAGCAACTTGACCCACAGCCAATCAACTGTATAGTGAAGCAGACAGCTATTGAGCAGCATCTATTACCTAACATGAGGAATCTAACACAAGGAAAGCCACACAGTAGTCATTCACAGGCAAACAAAAAAAAAAAGCTTTTTACATGACATTTAAGGACAGGCTAATCTGAAATCGATGATAGCACAATAATAAAACAGCATGCAAATGGATAGAGTAGCTCGGTCCACAAAAGGTTTGGTTGAAACTCGCTACACATCATCAGATACTAACAAAACGGAGTATTTCCACAACCATAACATCCTATTGTCACGTGTTTGTCTCTGTTTAGTTCCTGTTTGCCCCTATTTGGTTCAGTTCCTGTCCTCATTTAGTTAATCATCGTTTATTCTGTTCACCTGTCTTGATTGAGTTCTCCACCTGTTTCAGTTTTGCCTAATCCCGTTCCATGTGTTTGTATACCCTGTGTTTTCCTCAGTTCCTTTGTCTTGCTTTGAAGTTACGTTGTGGTGTTTTACTCCTATGTTCTTCTGTTTAACTCTTGGTTTGATCATTAAAGACTCACTTCTGGATTACCCTGGCACCATGTGCTTCATCCCCACCGCATCGTGACACTTATATAGTGCTCCAGTCTCAAAGAATGTAATTTTCGATCACGGATTATATTAACAGCAATACTTTTAATAGAATTTTTTTAACAGAGGTTTTTACTAACAAACTCATTTCATCAGACTCTGTAGGAGCATGTACGTAATTTACAGGCTAACAACATCCATGTCAGTGTTTACATTAGGCTGGACCGAGCACAGATTTGCAAGATAGACAAAAACGCAACCCACAGAGAAAACAAGATTTATCCTATGGCAGTACATTATGCATCAGCACACAACTTGAACTTTTCCACATTAAAACTCATTTGGGTGGATCTATTAAGAAGGCCAAGCACTTCTGGATTTTTCATTTAAAGGCCACAAATTTTTCCAAATTAAATGAGATGGATTTGATTTATTTTAACTCTTTCCCCGCCAGTATTTTTGAAAAAAGTTGCCAGCCACCGCTAGCGATTTTGATGATTTTCCCTAAAATTTGATAGCCTCCAGTATATTTTGCTGTATGAATATTTGAATATGCAATGCACCAAAATAAAGATCAGAGCCTCTACTTTTAAACAAAAAAAATCAGTTTTATTCTAGCTTAAAGCATTCTTTTTTTATCAACACTTGAATATAGGTAGGTTTCATAAAAATGCATAATTTTGAGCAAAAAGGTCAGAAAATAAAATTATCAAAAACCACATCTGGATAATATTCAGTACGATTATCAAAGCATAAATCTAGTAAATCGCTTCCATCAATACCTCCAACGCTTGCACAGACATATACCACTTCCTGGATCAACATTTTACTCCGTAACATTACGCAGTTTTCATTTATATGCTGTCTATTGCTGATGATCGCATTATTTTTCATATGCATCTGTTTACATAAGAGATCGCTCGTTTCTCCGTCCTGTTCACGTGTGTTTTTGTTCGGGAGGTTTTGTACTCGTTCAGATGTATAATAGCGCCCTGAGTGTATAACAGTGAAAACACGGAAAGCCGTAAAATCTTGTCTTTGAAGCTTTTTCTTGTAAAAGACGAGATAACTCGTCAATGGCGGGGAAAGAGTTAAGAATTGGATTTGTTGAATTTTTTATTTCTTTACAGTTCTATCATGACAACTCATGACAACTCGTAGATTTTCACATGGTGATGGATATGACAATGTTTATATAATTTGGTCTTGGCGGAATAGATCTGCTACGCTGCTGCTGAATTGCTGCTGCTGTTGGTTATTGCTGTAGTCGTAGATTATTGCTGCTACTTCAAAACAAGGACAGGAACTTGCTACTGCCAATACATACACTGATACAGTGCTGTGAGTATTTAAGACATACTGCTGCTGCACAAATAGCATATATAATAACCCACAGCAGATCTGTACAGGTGGAGCTGGGGAAGATGGAGGGTTTCAGAGGAACTCTTAATCTCATTGGCTGTGTTTACAATGAACCAATCAGCTTATGCCAAGTAGTTTAATGCTGTGAATATCATCAGTTTGCATCAGCCTGCACCATCTAGAGCAGGGATGTCAAACTCAGTTCCTGGAGGGCCGCAGCCCTGCAGAGTTTATTTCCAACCCTGCTCCAACACACATACCATGTAGTTTTCAAATAAGCCTAAATGACTTGATTAGCTGGATCAGGTGTTTAATTAAGGTTGTAGCTAAACTCTGCAGGGCTGTGCTCCTCCAGGAACTGAGTTTGACACCCCTGATCTAAAGTTTCATGATAGAACTCGGCATTTATTAATGTACTTTACACGCTGGTTTTCTTAACTTTCTTTCTTCTGGTCATGTTTTTTTTTCTTTTTCCTATACAGAATTCAACCTGGTTTTGGTGTATTTCTTAGTACTACTAGTTTCCTTTAAGATTCTGGACTTATTTTATTCCTTGCCTTAGTTAATTACAATACAATACAATACTAAGACAGCCTTTTGTTTTAAGTGTACAGTTACCTTTAGACATAATTAATCAAGAGAAATGTTCCAAGAGTGCTATTGTAACAGTTAAAAAAAAATTTAAATTAACATCAAGAAACTTCTCAAAATTAATCTTGAGAAACACATTTGAGGATCAGAATTATTATGAAAATTTCATCAGAGATTACCTACAGACATATAGACAGAGCACTTAAAACTTATACTCTTTATTATAACAAAGTACCATGTCAGTTTATTTGGCAGCCATATTTGCAACCCCTCTCCTATCAACTTAATTGGGCAAATACTGAAATCTCAAAACTGCTTGCCAAACTTATATTTAAATGGTCATGAAATGCAGTTTATGTTTTGAGCCAGAGGAGTCAGTTTCCAAGGCAGAAGAAATTGAAATAATATGCAACCACAATGATTACAACAGTCTGTTTCAGCATGGTAATTGCTCTTGGTTGCTTACTTTTCGGTATACAGTTTTAAAAGTACTAAAATTACTTGTCATATTACATTGGTCCAGCCAATGCACATGTGCAGTTCCAAACAAATGCAAAAACTTCAGGTATACCAAGGTGGTGCACACATATTATTATGAAATATAAGTATTTTAAATGGTTAGTTCACCCAAAAATGAAAATTCTGTCATTAATTACTCACCCTCATGTCGTTCCAAACCCGTAAGACTTTTGTTCATCTTCGGAACACAAATTACCTTTCATAGACTGCAACGTTCCCAGGTCCAGAAACATAGCAAGGACATCGGTAAAATAATCCATGTGACATCAGTGGTTCAACCGTAATTTTACGAAGCTACGAGAATACTTTTTATGCGCAAAGAAACAACAATAACATAATTTATTCAGAATAATTTATTCATTATTCTCGTAGCTTCATAAAATTACGGTTGAACCACTGATGTCACAAGGTCTTACGGGTTTGGAACGACATAAGGGTGAGTAATTAATGACAGATTTTTGGGTGAACTAACCCTTTAACATTATTTGAGCATAAGAAACAACATTTACAGTATGGAACATTACATGGCAGATTTTGTTGCCGATTTGAAATATGTTATTTAAATGTGACTGTGGCAAGCAGTCTTTGAGATTTAAGGATTTCCCCATTCAAGTAAAGAGAACGTTGTTTTGGATGCCCAAAACAGCTGCCCAGAGGTGTTGCAGAGTGAACAGACTTTTCTTGAAAGGGACTTCGTTATGCGTCTCAGGATACGGACTGATCTACGGGAAATGGAACTTCTAACAGCAGCTGCAGTGATATCATGACTTTCCCAATTGGCGATTGGCTCTTTTTCTTAGAAAGTGGGACTTTTTCCGCCAAATCACATGTTGCAGTTTCTCCAGTTCATAGTAATACAAGTGACCCGTCTTAGTATATATACATATTTATACTATTATATTCACTGAGAAAAACTTCCAACACTCACCAGCACTCGATCTCCGACCTTAAGGTCCTTCTCTCCCCCTTTCTTCACAGATCCACTGTCAGACATGTTGGATCCTGACTCATTGCCGGTTTTGACGGAGCTGTTGAGCATGCCTTCTCTGAGTGGCATGACCACACGCTGACCAGATGCTCCCGCACCACCCTGCAGCTGTGCGTTCTGCTGCTGCTCATCGCTCCCGTCTCCGATGGGTTGTCGCGTAAGCTTGGAAGGCCTGGTGAAGATGCCCTGCAAAGGCTGGCACTCGAAGTAACGCACTCCATTGACGGAGCCGTCATTTTTTCCAACCAGGTCATTCAGCACCACTCCAGCCCACTGTCCTGGGGAAAACTGGGTCTCTCCAAGATAGGCGATGACTCCTGGTTTGACTCCATTCACCCAGACACGTTCACCCACCACAAAGTCCCCGGCCACCTCATCACCCACCTCAGAGGCTTTGGAGCTGGACTTGTCTGAGGTGTTGCTGCTGGGGGTGGGAGTCGTCTGCTTGTAGGGGCAACCTGTGAATAGAAAAAGATTTGATAGTAGATTATGAAAGGAATATATTCCAGGTTCAACACAACAAAGCTCAATTGACATAACTTGTGGCACAATGTCAGTTTCAAGAGAACTGCCTCTGAGTTTGTTAAAACAAACAAAAACTGTGTGTACAATAACAGACTTACAATAGAGGTCTATGGGGAAGGGCATTCTGGAGGGTTCTCTGTTGCTCAAACAGTTTGAAGTATTACTATTCATTCTAACATGCAAAAATGTGTTATTTGAGACGTAAAGTCTAAACTTTCTCTTAGTGGTGGAACTACTGTTGTAGGTGGATGAACTTCTAATTGTGCAATACCAATGTAATTACTGTGGGTGGAGTTTGCTCTACATAAACGGTGTTGTGTATAGTTGCATTATGTCCCTTTTCTTGTATCCCTGTGTGTATCGTTTCTGTTTCTCCAGTTTATTGGATATATTACTGAAACGGTGCATACGTTTTTACAAAATAAGGCATGAGATCCAATCACCCTAGTAACTTTCTGTTCACCCTGCTGCCATCTGGAAAGCGCTTCCGTAGTCTGATGGCCAAAACTGAGAGACTTAGGAGAAGCTACTTTCCTCAGGCCATCAGGCTCCTAAACTCAGCCTCTTAACATCTACAGGACTTCATTAACACACTCACCACACCCGTTACTTGACATTGTCACTGCACACAGCACTTTCTGGTTTCGTTGCTGCTATAACAACCTGCACTGTTGTACTTCACTTTAAATTCGTCTCTGTACATACCTCAGCATATTACTCACTTGTGCATTCCTGTTTCTTTAAATATTTATTATATATTCTCCTTTCTAAGATTATTGTGTAATGCCCTGCACTCTCAGGCTCTTTATTTTATTTGGTACAGTCTTATTATCTTATCTACATGTTTATTACTTTCTTTGTCTTATACTTGTCTAAATTTGCACAATCTATGGAGCAGGCCTAACTTACATTTCACTACTGGTTATGTATCATATATATGAAATGAAATCTTGAGTGGAAATTATTTCCTGTAGTAACTGATTTCCTGTAGTAACTTTCCTGTTGAGAAACTGGAAGTCTTTCTTTGGAATATCATGCAAAAAACAAAGTGCTATACTGTTCAACGGTTCGGGATCGCAAGATTTTCTTTGTTTTTGAAAGAAGTCTCTTAAAGACGACTGCATTTATTTGATTAAAAATACAGTAAAATAGCAATATTGTCAAATATTATTAAATTTTAAAAGAACTGTTTTATAATTTAATGTTTTAAAGGGGTCATATGATGTGATTTAAATTTTTCCTTTCTCTTTGGAGTGTTACAAGCTCTTGGTGCATAAAGAAGATCTGTAAAGTTGCAAAGACTAAAGTCTCAAATCCAAAGAGATATTCTTTATAAAAGTTAAGAGTCAACCACGCCTACCTAAAACGGCTCGTTCTAACACGCCCCCACATGTCTACGTCACGATGTGGGAAGATTTGCATAACGCCGCCCAAATGTTCACGCAAAGAAAGAGGGCGTAACTTTTATTCTCGCTGTAGTATTGTTGCTGCCGCCATGTCGTGAAGGCGCTGTGTGTTTCATTGTGAAAGCCAAACTACTTTGTTTGGCCTTCCAAAAGAGGACCATATCGCTTCGTCATGCATAGAGCTGATGCTGACTCATGCTCATGCTGGTCGCTGAGGAAATACATCAACTTCGCACTGTGGAGCACCGGATCGGCTTTCACCGTGGACGAAGCAGAGTCTAGCCCAGGGTCATCACATGTGGTTGCCGCAAGCCCGCCGGACGCTCCTTCATCGAATCCGCCGGCCGCGCCGTTCTCAAGCCCACTCGCCTCCGCTCACTCTAGCCCTCCGGCTGTTCCTCACTCTAGTCCCCGGCCTCTGCTCACTCTAGCCCGCCGTGTGTGACGCGGTGTTTCGTTGTGAAAGCGAAACTACTTTGTTTGGCCTTCCAAAAGAGGACACGACTAGAAATCAGTGGTTAAGTTGTATTTACAACACTGCTCCAGAACAGTTCAACCCAAATATTCAGATGTGTGCAGCACATTTTATGGAGGACTGTTTCCTGATCCTGGAAGAGTAGACTACAATGCCGGCTGTTTTCTTATATTTAAAGAATTTGCCACTGATGATTCAAACGCGAGTTGCAGTGTAGAGTAGCGTTTGTAGTTTGTCATTTCTCCGATCACAAATGCAGACATGGTTTTATGTTTACGCGGCGCGATGCAACGCAACGCGTAAAAAGACAGTATAAGTTATTATAATCAGTTATTATGTCCCCACTGGATGCTACAAATGCCTAGTTTATAATGTTTTTGTCTCGTCGCTCCGGCCGGGACACAGCATCACAGTATGGTAGGGGCGTAACATTTCCGTCACACGCTTGAGGTATTCGGCCAATCACAACGCACTGGATAGCTGGCCAATCACACCACACCTCGCTTTTCAGACCGATGAGCTTTGTAAAAATCGACGCGTTTCAGAAAGGCGGGGCATAGAGGAGAAACAATAATGTACAGTATGTGGAAAATGTGTTTTGTTTCTACAATTTTTTTTTTTTTGGAAACAATGACATTTTTTCAGGATTTTCTGATGTGATGAACAAAGTTCAAAAGAACAGACTTTATTTGAAACAAAATCTTTTGTAACCCTGTAAACTGTCACTTTTAATCAATTTTAACAGTAAATTTTATCACTGTAAATTCTATCAATTGTAACACTGTAAATTGCCACTTTGAATCAATTAATGCATCCTTGCTGATTAAACATAAATCTCATTTAAAAAAGTTTAGTTAAAGAACTTTTGAACAGTAGTGTACCATGGTACAAAAATATATTACTTTCCCGATTTTGACACCTGATCATAACATCACTTTCCATGTATGTTTTTAATCCCCATCATACAAAGTTTGGTGAAAATATTAAACGTTAATGTCAACATGATTCAGATTTCACAAAGTATGTACTTCTGTAATGTGAATTTTTCAGAAGGAAATGTATTGACTTGAAACTGGTTATTAATAAATCAATCCATTTTAAGCATCCATTTTAAGAATTTACAATGTTCTCTGTATTTCACAGCATATGTTGTCAACACTTGTTACACAGCTCATTTAATGCATGGCATCAGAGAACTCTCATCATTTCGCTCATGTCTGGATGTCACTGCAGCCTTCATGCAAGGTTGAGCAGCACTCTAATTTCTGAACGAATCTGGGTCAGTGGGATTTGCAGTGAAACAGCTTATGAACCTGGGTGCTTTGCACATGTGGCGCTTTTAACACATGCCTCTTACCGAATACCGCTTGAAGGATCCAGTGATGATGTGTGAGCCACGGCTCATTTAGCATGTATTCAGTCAGTCTTTCACATCTCAGCGTATGTGTGTGGGGGGTTATTGATGCTGGGGGATGGGATGATGACTGCTTTTGTTTCTCAATTGCTCCAACATGTTCTTGGACTGATAAACACGGTGGTTAAAGATCTTTGAAATGAAGAATTCCTGGGCTCCTTATTAGTAAAAAAAAAACATTCTGACATAATTCGCTGTTGTTTATAAAACAACACAGGGCCGGTGTGTCTCTTAAGAGCTGACAGACTGTCTATGTTTTTGATGTTATTCAGCTACTATTGAGGTCAGTAGTCTACCACACAGAAGCAGACGTGTAAACGTCAGCAGTGATGGAAATATACAGTATAAACAAATCCCCTTTTTGGCAGAAAATAGAGTAAAATACAAAAACTAATATGGCCAATTGCAGCTTGCTAAACATACAAGAACTTCTTTGGATCTCACGGGCCAAGCAAACATGTTTAAGCTTCCATTTACCATATTTGATGGGCTCTACGTATATGCTTTAATCAATATTTATATGTAATCTAAATTAAATATGTTCATCATTTAAAGTAATGATATGGATTACTTTAACCATGTCTTTATGAAATATTTGAAGTTTAAAAGTGTTAGTATATTCCAATGGAGGGTCAGAAATATAATGTAAAACACCCATTGCTGGTAAATTTTGTCTGTAGTGGTATGTTTATTTTGGACCATCGATGAACAGCTCTGTTGTGCAAAGTGCATAGTTATTTAGGCTGTGTTCAAAGAATAGCAGAAGATTTTCAATTAAAGGGGTCATATGATGCTTTTTTAAAGATCATTATTTTGTGTATTTGGTGTAACAGAATATGTTTGCATGCTTTAATGTTCAAAAAACACATTATTTTTCAAATACTGTACATTATTGTAGGTCCTCTATGCCCCGTCTCTCTCAAACGCTTCGTTTTCTACAAAGTCCCTCCTTCCGACAAGTGCAGTCTGCTCTGATTGGCCAGCTGACCCAGTGCATTGTGATTAGCTGAACACCGCAAGCACTCGTCGGAAATCTAACGTCCCTTACCATAATCGCGAGCTTCATCTTTCAAAATAAATGTAAAGACAGAGCCCGAAAGGGGGAGACTGTTTTTTTCTTAATTCACATTTATTCATTTAGCAGACACTTTCCTCCAAAGCAGCAAATGAGGATCATCACAAGCAACATACATATTTCTCAGCGCAGTGCAGTGAAACATAAGCAGAAGGAGTGTGTGTGCATGTGCATGTGCAATGTGCATGTGCTCTCAAGAGAGGAGTACACGAGCACTACACTACGGTAGAGAAAACTAGGCCCATTCAGGAAGTCCCGGCCCATTGCGGGGCTCGAGCGGAGGCTCTGGTGCATTTCTTGCCCTAGTGGCTGGGTTGCTACGGTAACACTAGATCAGTAAGGGGAAAAAAAGAAAAAGGAGTGATGCAGGAAGAAGAGAAGAACACAAGCCTCACTTCACTATTGTGCCTGCACTCCTCCTCCCACCATCTCAATCCCACCATTCAGCAGCACAAGCTAACACAATGACCCCAGTGCAGCCTTTAACCGCCCCCTGCACACACACACACATTTCTATCTCAGAAGCTCTCTGTGGAGTCCTGATCACTCCTCCTCCATAAACA